AATTGTTATGAACTCATAAAATGAAGACCTCTTGACAAAGGCTTTATTCAACCATAATATACTAATCTGAAAATACAAGAATTGAAATATATATAAGCACAAATAGCAAAATAAATAACAACATAAACACTAGAAATTACATATACATATATACATATATAATATATTATATATTATATATATATATATATATATATATATATATATATATATATATATATATATATATATATATATATATATATATATATATATATATATATACATATATATATATATATATATATATATATATATATATATATATATATATATATATATATATATATATATACATATATGTAAGATAGTGTTAAAAATGTAAAAAATGCCTTCTCTGAAAAATAGCTCCCCCTCATACAGTTGGCCAAACAGCTGTTTTTATGGACATTTATTCATAACTTTTAAATGGAAAGTGGTATGGGGTCAAATAAAGACTTTTTGAAAAAGATTTTACGTGTAAATTTTTTGCCCAATCACTTTCCTCATTATTCAAAATTAGTTCCCAAAAACGACCAATCAGTTTTCGAAATGATGGTTTGAAATGGTTTGAAATGGTGTTATAATGATCCATGGTCCACATAAATTTATTTTTGTAACAGGTGGAAACTAAAAAATATCAGGTTTGAAGAAGTTTCTCTTGATTCTTTTCCCATTTGAAGACTCAGTGTTTTGTGACTCAGTGGTGTATTTTGTGATTTTTGCAATGAAATTAATAAACCTGCTTCTGTTTCAAGTGAAAATGGACAAAATATTGTCAGTATGATATTGCTTGTGTTAACTTATCTTTTTAATTAAATATTGCTTGGCTTCTACATCCATAAACTCCAAACTTTATTTTCATTTGTATATTCTCAATGTTTATATCTAAAAAAATGTTCTCCAATATCTTTTGCGTTGTCAAATTAATAGTCTGAAATAGACTGAAGTAAACACCAGAATAATGTTCAGTATAATTCATAATTTTCTTCTGAGATGTTTCAACCTAGGCAATATATTAAAACGAGCAGTTTTTTTTTGTATATATAACTCTTTTTAATATATTAAAAAAAAAACTCTTTTTAATATATTAAAAAAAGAGTTTTTTTTTTGGTTTGTATATGAATGCCAACCAAGACCACAAACCGTTTAAATTGAAAACTTTTTGAAAGAGTTATTCTTTAAAACTCTTCAAGTAAGCTCTCTTTACCTTGAATTGTATGCCAGTTTTTTTAATTTTGTTTTTCATCAGATGCAGATCTTTGCTAGCTATTCTGAATTAATGTTTTTTATGCAAATGTCAATTCATGGGATAGTGCCTTAGCATTAATCAGCATACAACCTGTTATATTTGCAGAAATAGTTTTTGGTTGTTTATTTTCCTCTGCAATAAAAATTATATATATATATATATATATATATATATATATATATATATATATATATATATATATATATATATATATATATATATATATATATATATATATATATATATATATATTCTTATAAAATAGTCAAAAGAAATTTCTATGGTAAAAAAAAGACATTTTAATGTTGTCTAAAAGTTTAAACAGTTAAAATAATTTGGAAGTACATTATGTTTTATTGTTTTTTTAAAAAACTGCAATAATATTGACTTTTTCAATTTTAGTGTCTTTGTTTATGTTTCTTATTGTTTTGTAATACTTTTACTTTTTTTTTTTTTTTTCAATTTTAGTGTCTTTGTTTATGTTTCTTATTGTTTTGTAATACTTTTAAAACACACTGTTGTGCTGAAATTTGTGGGTATTTGTGATGTTCATGAGCATTTTGACTTTTTTTTGAAGTATTTTAAGATAAATATGGCTATTTTTTGTGGTGTTATGAGGCATAAACCATAAACCACCACTTTTATTTGCTGTAATGGCAACCTATATCATGATTTTAGGCAATGTTTTACAGTAGAAAGGAATTACTGATTGTTGTGTTATTGGCAAGGCTGTCTAAAGCTCAACAAGGGTGTCTAACACTTGTAGAACAACAATAAAATTGTTGGATTAATGATTCAATGCTAAATATTAGATCTTCCTTATCTTTTGCTGACCATTTTTAAAAGAAGGCAATACAGTCTTTAATTTTTTTTGAGAAAGACAAAGTTTTTTTGACAGAACATGGCTATTTTAGTTAAATTCTTTGTGATAATGTCTTTTAATTGTCACAACATTTAGTGCAACATCAGATGGGAATATCTCAGATGAAATTTCAGTAGCACTCATTAACAGATATGCTTTTGCATAACGATAAATGCAATTATCTACCCTTTAAGTACTCACTTTTGGTCGCCTATATATATATACACACACACACGCACACACACACATATATATAAATATATATATACACACACATATATATATATACATATATATATATATATATATATATATATATATATATATATATATATATATATATATATATATATATATATATATATATATATATATATATATATATATATATATATATATATATATATATATATATATATAAATGTATATATATATGTATGTATATTTTGAATAATATACATACATATATATATATATATACATTTATATATAAATTTTAAGTATGTCCTTCACAGATAAACATATAATTAATAAATAAAAATAACAAAAATTAATATAAAAAATATATTTTTATAATAAAATAATAAATTTAAATATGTATAAATAAAAATAGAAATATAAAAAAAATTTAAAAAAATATATAAATATGATAAAAATAGTATTAAAAAAGTAAAAAAAAATGCTTCTAAAGCAAGCGCTTTAAATACTGCTCCATGGTTGCTGCCCAGGCCGGCGCGATAGGGGTGTGTGAGGGGGTCAAATGATTTTTAGTCGGCATCAATGATTTTTAGTCGGCAAATCAGCGTTGAAAAAACAAAATCTAAAAATGCAGTATTAATGACAATATTTATAACAACTCTGTTGTTTTTGAAGGAACATGAATAAAAGAACATTAAAAATGTTCATTTAAAAATTTCTAATGTCAATTTTATAAGAGAAAAAGATGGTTAAGAATATTAGTTTAAATAATAACCTATTTTTTACCTTAAGAATTTTTTTTAAAGCAGTAAATAAGATTTAATAAGTGAGGAATAGTATTTGTGCTTAAAGAAGACTTTTCAAATATTGACTCTGAAAACAAATCTATTTTTAATATTTTTTTGTTTTTATTTTTTTTTATTACTGAATTCATGTTCCCAAGGCAAGTGGGCCACTTTGCGTTGAGGAAGCTACTCTTTTTTCTTTTTATAGTGGTTACAACCCTCTCTTAACTCTTTAACTCCGAAACACAAACCTTGATGAACAAGGCCGCTGCGCAGAGAAACAGGTTAAAACCAATAAAATATGTAATATATTTTATAATTATAGTTCTTTTTTAATTGAAAAAAAATTAACAACTTTCGAATTTAACTGAAAATGTAAAGAAATTTTATAATTGTTACCAAAATTAACTGAAAGCCGAATTTCTATTTCAAATTCAGCACCAAAGTTGAAATTTTTTAAATCTACATTTTTTGTTTCTTATATTTATTGTGATAATAATTATTATAAATAGTTAGTTATTTTTTTGGTAAACTGTATTTAGTTTCATTGCAAACTTTAAGTTGATGGAAAAAAAAATCAAGTAAGTACTTTTTTCAAGTAAAAAATGAAAAGTTTGCGCAGTTTCTTGAAAATTACTCTTGACTTACAAAATCTTTGTAACAAAAGCTTTTTTTTTCCAGATTCTACTATGGAAACATATTGAACCTTTTCTTGGGCCTTTTTCTTCTTTTTTATTCAAAGCCTTCATACAGTAGGAGATGTGTTCCTTTAGCTTATGTCTTCATGCATAGAAACAGTTGAAGCAGAATGTTGGTACACTATTGTTAAGGGTAGTTAATAGCTCTATTGCTAATAGCTCTAAATTAACTCTTTTTTTTAGTTTTTACATCAGAACTAAGATTCTAAATTTTTGTTTTGATGTACCAATGTATCTCTCAATTTTAGCTTTAATGTATCAACTGCCCCACATTAACCTTTTGGCTAAATTTTGAGGATTAGATTGACATGGTTTCTCCCAGACTAAATTATTCTATAGAAAACCTTACAATTTTACACATGCACCTGCCGAACACTCAAACATCATTTAGTTTGTTGCTCTTTCTTACTATTTAAACTGTATTTGTAAAAATATTTTTTAACGTTTTGATCTTTGCTACACTTTCATTGACAAAATATTGTGCAGTTATTCTCATAACCAACTGATCATGATTAACAATTGCACTCACTCCAGGTTTTGTGATTATTGGACTACATTCAATTTAAACCTTATTTTTGTTAAACCTTTTGTTTCAAATTAACATTGATATCATATAATACAACAATTTAAGCATTTAAAAAAGTTTTTAACTTTTTTAAATGCTTAAATTGCGTACACAAGTATGTAAAAAGTTAAAAAAGGCTAAGTAATACTTTAAAAAATGAAAAATACTAAGTAAAGAACTAATTGGAAAAAAATAATTCAGCAGAACAAGAAAAGTATATATGTATCAATATTTGTGTGTGTTATGCACAGATTGTGAACTGCTCAGTTTATGAAATAGGTTTGTTCAAATCATGAAATAAAAATTTTTTTGTTTTCTTTTTATATATAATGAAATGTGATATACTGAAATAAATTTGTTTTATTGTTATAAAGTTTTTTTCATAATCTTTGCAAAATTTAATAATCTATGCAAATTAAATATTATATATATATATATATATATATATATATATATATATATATATATATATATATATATATATATATATATATATATATATATATATATATATATATATATATATATATATATATATATATATATATATATATATATATATATATATATATATATATATATATATATATATATATATATATATATATATATATATATATAGGTGGTTTGGGTGAGCGAGTATTTGGTTTTGCACACAGCTATTTACCTGTTGACAAGTTTCCAGAGGGTTACGAGTTCAACTCAGAAGAGCCAAATTTTCCACTAGATAGTTTTTGTTTTGTTGGTATGATGAGTATGTTAGATCCTCCAAGAGCTGCTGTACCTGATGCTGTCAGTAAATGCAGGAGTGCTGGTAGGTAATAAATTATATACTTTTAAGAAGAGTTTTAAATAGCGTAAAAATTTATATAATTATTACAAAGGTTCTAGAGTTATAAAAGATAATTTTTTTTTAAATATATTTTGATTAAGTTAACAAATAGATGTTTAGTTGAATGCCATGGTAATGCAAAAGTATTTGGAAAACTATTAGACTTGACAGCTTTGTCAGCTTGACAAACATCTGAAAATTAAATAAAATCTTCTTGGTAAATTTTGCAAATTTTTATTAAAATACCCTATGTAAAGATATTTTTAATGGTGCATATACAGGGTGTATATGATGATCTGTGTAGTATATGAATATTTATTGCAAACATATGAAGAAAAAATCTTTATCAAATATTTTGCTTTTATCATAGCTAACTCGTTTAATACTGAAGAAAAACCCTTTATGAAATTTTTGAACCTTTAAATTTTATCCTGCTGTCTACAGGAATGTCTGATACCATTCTCTACCTTCTGATGACATTGTTAGTAAAATGATTCATCAAGTTCTATATTTATTTTGTTCAGCTAACTTTTCATTTATAAATTCTGATAGGTTTAGTTTTTTATTTCATCTTGTTTATTTTGTATCAAACAAAATAAACAAAATGCAATTGAAAGCACATACTACCCTAAAACAAAACTAAAAAAAAAATTATTATTTATAACTTTTTTAAATATAAACTTTTCACCTAATTGTCACAAATGCAAGATGGAAGAGAGTTTACTTCTATATTAAACCATGATCCACAAAATTCTTCACTAGCTTTACATATTCTGGTTTTCCCTAATGTAGAGATTTTTCATTTCCTTATTTATGTAGCAGAAGCATGTCACTAATCTATGCTCTAAGTGTAATCTAGCCCAAGTCCCAAAATCTATTCAAATCCGGAGTCCCAAAAAGGACTCCGGATTTGAATGTCACAAAAAGACTACTTTATCCTAGATTTTGGTATTCAGGAGCTATAAAAATATAAATAAGTTTATAGACTACTAATAGGAAAAAAATAAAGACTTTTAGGTTAGAGAAACAATCATTTTTTGAACCCTGAGTCCTTAGGTATAATGGTAGCAAGGACTCCAGGACTCTAGGCTTAAAAATAATAAGTTTCAAGTCATTACAAGTCTCACAAATTTTTTTCTTATAGAAGATCATAAGTCAAAAAACATGTTTAGAGCTTCTGGACACTACAGACTTGGAAAAAGTAGAGATATAATGCTGGAGTCCGTTTGGGACTCCGCATCCCTGCTTGCCAAATCAGTTTTAGTTAAATAATTTTTATAAAATTTTATAAATTTATATTTTTACAAATTATAATTTTATTAACTATAAAATTTTATAAGTTTTTATAAAATCTCCCATAATTTAACTTATTTAAAACATATATTCAAATGGTTTACATTAAAACTAAGTTAAAAGTTATTATTTAACAATAAACTCAAACTAAAAAGTTTTATTTTAGAGAACCAATATTAAAATAAATTTTTGTCAATTTTTATACATTCATTCAAAATAGAAAAGCCATGCAAATTAAAGTATAAATACTTGTCACATAGTCATATATTATATAAGTTGTGTAAATTTATAATAACAAGTAAGAAATAAGACATTTTAAATAATTTTTGTTTCTTGCTCTGAATCTGAAAATTAAATATCTCTGATATCTTTAAGGTGAAATCAGTCTCTCTGAGAGCTACCACAGAGTTTAGGAAACCTTTCTACTACCAGATTTTAGAATCATTAAGCTGAGTTTTAAAGCTTTACCTTCATTAGACATTAACAACAAGAGTTGTTTAGCTACTCCCAAGGAGGCACAAACAAAAATCTATTAATAGAGTCAAGAAGATCCGCAGTTTATTCTCCTAGGCAGGAAATAATATAATATAGTTTTTCATTAATGCCTGCCCAATAAATGAAAAAGGGATGAACGGTTGGTCAACTGAACTATTGTTTGTAGGCTTCATATATATAACTATTAAGGTAGATTTATAGATTAGATTATTAGAATTATAAAAATTATAAATTTATTTCTACAAAAGATTTTGATTTGTTTCCATTTGTGTTGCTAGTGTTTTGACTTCAGCAATGTAAGATTTTACTAAACAATTAGATTTTTTTTTTGATATTAGTGTATATAATGTCATATATGAAAAAAATAAATCAAGGTTTTTGTTAAAACAAAAAAAAAAGATGATATTAATTTTTATTTTTTTATTTTTTTATGTTAATCAATTTTCCAGGGCCAAGAAGCCACTACAGTCAAGAAGGCTAATGCTTTTTCTTTTTTTCTTTTATTTTTTTACAACTCTCTTACAATTCTTTTTCTTAACTTACAATTCTCTACAACTCAACTTACAATTCTTTTTCTTTTTTCTTTTACTTTTATACATCTCTCCACTTTTAACTCAAAAATTTAAACCTTGACAAAAAAGGCTGTTGTGCTGAGAAACAAATTGAGTGTGGTACTACCAAGGAAATGTTGGGGATCAAATTCTAAACTTCTAGCTTATGAAACAAGCCCTCTACCACTGTACCACTACCACATTTGGAACAGGAAAGCAGAGCATGTATGAACTGATATTTTTAAAACCAAAAGCAGGTTTAGAAATTGATAAAGGAGCTGCTTTTCTACAACATGATTCTGAAACACAGTTAAATTTGATATGTGGCTGAATTAAAAAAGATCTTGACATAAAATAAATCTACAACATCTACAAACCTACAAAAAGAAGAAATAAATTAAGATAAATGTGTTACCCTTAAGCTACTTGAGAAAATAACACAAATGTGTCTAAATAACTAGTGCTACTGATTATCTTAAACTTTCAGACAAACAACAATCATTATATAAGCAATAATAAAAGCTTCTCGGGGTAAGTTTGAAGACTTTGACATAATAAATCTACAACTCGGCAAAAAAGAATATGTAATCATTAAATTGCAGAAAGTGTTACCATATTGTTCCTCAATATGGTGCATTGTATTAGGATGGTAAGTTTTTAAAAGATATACTTAAAGTTAACTAGGCAACTCATTCTATTATCTCCAAATGAGGGTACAGCTCTTAAACTCAGTTTTATAGTTCTGAGGCCGGCTGGTTGTCAGGTTTCCTGCACTCTGTAGTAGCTCTCAGAGAGGCTGATTCCATCAACAGCTGAAAAATATCAGAGTACTAACAGTGCCATGTTGCGCATGGATGGTGTCCCTGTTTGTACTTTTGGTGTGCATTGCCAAGGCCACATTGGAGCCCTTCATTACGGCTTAGGGTTTATTAGTGGAAATGAGGTAATTGCTTGGGCTATCAAACAGTGTACTGAGTACTATCTATGTTTCGAGTCAAGTTTTTTAACAAATTTAAAAATGAATAAAGTAGCAAAAACTATTAAACACAAAAAACCACAATCATCACCAAGTTTGCTAAACCTATAATTCACCAATATTCGTGGTCTTCGAAGTAACTTTTCTTCTGTTGAGTCTTATCTCTTGCAAAATTTACGAGACTTACTTGCTCTTTGTGAAATTAATTTGAGTTCTTCTGTATCATCTTGTGATCTTAGTGTTGATGGTTATCTTCCTTTAATTCGTAAAGACTCCAATAGTCACATGCTTGGGCATTTACATTCGTAAGAATTCTCACATTTGTTGGGAAACTAGGTTTGAATCCACAGACTACTCTTTTATGTGCTTTCATTTAGCACCACTTCACCCTATCACCTTTCTCTTTGCTCTATATTTCTTTTCTTCATCTCAAGATTGCACTCTTCTTGATGTTATTTCTGATTATATTGACCAAGCCCTCATTCTTTATCCATCAGCCAATATTGTTGTTGTCGGTGACTTTAATGTTCATCACACTGAATGGCTTGGCTCTAGTGTCAGTGACTCTGCAGGCATTAAGGCCCACAATTTTTGTCTTTCTCAATCCCTAACTCAAATAGTCAACTTTCCAACTCGCTCTCCAGACAACCTGAATCATTTACCTTCTCTACTCGACTTATGTCTTGTTACTGATTCTAGTCAGTGCTCAGTTTACCACACTCACCCTTAGGTGCTTCTGACTATGGTTTGGTCTCTCTAAAACTATTATCTCATTCTTCTTTACCATCAGAATCCCCCTATCATCGTACATCTTACAACTACCTTAAAGTTGACTGGGACTCTTTCCGTGATTTTCTTTGTGATGGCCCCTGGGTAGAAATCTTTTTCTTCCTGTTGACAAATCTGCTTCTTACATTACTTTATGGATTCAGGCTGGCATGGAATCCTTTATTCCCTCTCGATGATTCCAGGTCAAGCCTCACTCTTCTCCATGGTTTTCCTCACATTGTGCTGCTGTAATTGCCAATCGAAACCATAACTTTCATATCTATCAGCAAAACAGTTCTCCAGAAAACAGACGTCTGTTTATTACTGCTAGGAACCATTGTAAAAAGGTTTTGTCTAACGCCAAAGCCCGCTATTCTCAAACCATGAAATCTCGTATTTCATTACAAAAATTAGGCTCTCGTGACTTTTGGAGAATCTTTAATAGTATCAATAATAATTGCAAGTCTGTAATTCCACATCTTTTGTATTGTTCAGACTTTGTCACCTCAAAGGCAAAGCGGAATTGTTTGCCAAGAACTTTTCATCAATATCATCTCTGGATTCCACTAGTTGCGTTCTACCAGACAACATACCCATTATAGTTTTGCAGAAGTGTTCTCCGGAGCTGTCGTCTATCCTTTCAAAACTATTTAACAAGTGCTTATCAGAGTCTTGTTTTCCAGCCTGCTGGAAAACAAGACTCAGCATCTGTTATCCTTATTTTTAAAAATTCTGGAGAGCGATCTGATTCGTCTAACTACCGTCCCATTAGTCTTCTTTCTATCATAAGCAAGGTTTTTGAATTTTTAATTAACAAACACTTAATCTCTCATCTCGAATCTCATAACCTACTTTCTGATCATCAATATGGATTTCGATCTTCTTGTTCTACAGCTGAT